CAGTAAATGTATTCAGAACTTGCATCTTATCCGTTAAAGTCTTATATATCGAGACAGAGTAGGAGCTGTTGAAACAGCTATAAGTATTTCGGTATCATATGCTATGGCCCAAAAGCGGCCGTCATGTCGCAACTGGCGCAGTGACAGAACAATTCTGGTGTAAAACAAAAGGTCAAGATGCCCTCAAAGGGAAGTTCGAATGGCCTGTGAATGAGGTATCCTCTTTGCATATTCAAGTCGCAGGAGTCGTAAAGATGAAGTAGAGTTGATAAAAATGTAAAAGGTAAGGGCATGGGAATCGTTTAAAGAGAAACTGAACTCTAATCACAGGTCGGCAAACAACGTTTACCGCCAGGCGATCCGCTATTCGTGTTGGCAAAAATCAGATACCGCTCCAGATTCAAGATTTCGGATGGAAAACTAATCAGAGAAGAAGTTGTTCTATAGAGATGCAAGAAAGACTTTGAGCACATCTCCGCAGTCGTTAAATTCTGTCGCCGCAGAATTTGGCGATAATCTCAGGCTGCATTCTGGGATGAAAAGTAGTCGAACAATAGCTGAGGTGAAAATAGCGATAAAATCGCTGCAAAATGGCAAAGTTGCTTTATAAGAAAAAATCTGACATGCAGCGTTAAAGATAGTGAATTGCCGGAGACTCCTATATGCAAATTACCATGTAGGCCTAAAACAACGACGAAACAATGGCAAATTGGGGTTATTCTCCGGATGTTTATAAAACGGAATCAGAAAAAGTGAAACAACCACCGAGAGATCTGGATTCTTAGCCTATTCTACGAACAGGTATAGAAGCGAGGAGGAAGGAGCAACTCCGCCGATGTCGGTGTCAAGCCTGGATGAGAAAGGAGAATGGCTGGAGAGAGTGGCGAAGTCTTCGCAAAACTCAACTACCTGCACCTCATGGAATTGCACCTCACTGAACATTATACCGGCTCGGTCGTTGTCCGGATGACCAAAGGATCGGAGAGGCTAATGGAGGACGGAGGCAGGCTGTGAGAAGTCGGCAATCAGAACTCGCTTCTGGCAGTTGGGAGCATAGCAGCATGACTGTAGCTGCCGAAGATCGACGAAACGACGAAGAAGATATCAATCAGCAACGAAGTCGCTAGCCGTTCTGAAGAAAGGAGGTAGACAGCGCGATGTCATAATAGCAAGTCACATAACTCCCCACGGAAACGAAATTGAAAGTGGGAACTT